CCCAGTAGCACCCTTAGAGACCAACCAGGTGTTCAGGTTGGGAGCTCTGACTCTTGGAAGCTAATGCAGGCCCGGCGTTACAGTGTGGGGGCATCCCGGGGCCCAGCGGACTTACCGTCAAGCCCCCCCCCCCGACTTCCCATCCAGCCCAGCCCCTCCAACTTTCAATTTTTTATTTTATTTGTGATGCTCCCTTGGGGGGGCGTGGGGGTGTCTGTGTGGGGTGCCCCCTGACTTATTTAAGGGCCCCCTGGATTTAAAAAATCCTGGCTACGGGCCTGAGCGAATACCCCGGAAATCTTATTGGTCTCTGTCATGATCTGGGCTGTGCCACCAGAGGCCTAGTAGGCCCAGGGAGCCTGGCTAGCAGTAGGGGAGGCTGGGCCTACCAACCCCAGAAGGCCTTGGGAAGTTTTGGCACCGATTTGGACCAATAGGGAAGAAGAGTGCTGGGGAATATAAGAACTGGTACAAGAGGAAAAGCTGTTCTTCTTCCCAGGGAACAGGGCCAGAGGAAAGGCTGCTGTGGGAAAGAAACCCTCATCCTAAGGGAAGGGTGAGTAGTCTAAGGCCACTTAAGATAGTGAGTTAGGGACAGTATATATTTAGACGTGTTAGGGCATTTGATTTCTTTTTACCCACTTACTGTTATTATTCTGCACCTTGTTTCTTTGACCTCCTATAAAATAAACTATTTTCATTGTTCACTCTGCCTGGTCCTCACGCTCAGTTTCGTGTAATGGTTAAGTGCGCGGACTCTAATCTGGGAGAACCGGGTTTGATTCCCCCACTCCTCCACTTGCACCTGACTGGATGACCTTGGGCAAGCCGTAGTTCTGACAAGAGCTGTTCTTGAAAAAGAGCAGTTTCTGTCAGAGCTTTCTCAGCCCCACCTACCTCACAGGGTGTCTGTTGTGGGGAGGGGAAGTGAAAGGAGTTTGTAAGCCGCTCTGAGACACCTTTGGCGGGGTATAAATCCAATCTCCTCCTCCTCCTCTTCTTCTTCTTCATTTCGGCTAAAAGGGAAGTCTAAAGGACTGGGAGGGTGCTCTGGGCCTTCTCAGAGGAGCCTGGAACCAGAGTGGTGGCAGCATCAGGTGACACCCCACCTGAGCCATGACAGTCTCTAACCTGCTTTTGGACTTGAATCTGTTGCTGACCAACACATCTCCCCTCCGAAATGATCTTCCTCGAGGGGATAGTCCCGTGAGACCTCTCCAAGGTAGCCATTCCTTGTGTGCAAGTTTAGGAAAAGACTTCAGCAAAGACCATAAAGGCTTTCTTCCTAGTTTCTAGTCCTTTCTTTTCCTTTTGTTACCCTTAGAAGCTCATTGATTCACGAATGTTGAGCAGCAGAAAACGCTTGTTTTTTACATTTTTGATGCAAGGGCTCAAAGGACAGATTTTGTCATTGCTAAGATTTTGAAGATACAGAGTCATAAGAACATAAGAGATGCCAATGTTTGATCAGGCCAAAGGCCCATCCAGTCCAACACTCTGTTATCACGCAGTGGCCAGAAATACCAGTGCCATCAGGAGGTCCACCAGTGGGGCCAGGACATTAGAAGCCCTCCCACTGTTGACACCCCCCCCCCAGCACCAAGATGACAGAGCATCACTTGCCCCAGAGCCCCTATCTATCCCTTGTGGCTAATAGCTACTGATGGACCTCTGCTCCATATGCTTATCTAATTCCCTTTTGAAGCCGTCCATGCTTGTAGCCGCCACCAAGATTTTATAAATGGATAGAAGATTATAAATGGATAGAAAATTCTCGGACGTCTAACTGAAACAAAAGGAAATAAAAGCTGTATTTTGAACTATATGCAAAGGGTATATGAGTAATACATAAGGTGGACATAATAATGAATACTATTTGGATACTGTATGAGGATATTAACTAGATCGAAATGACATAAAGAAAATTCCCATATGTGTATTTATGTATGTTTGTCTTTGTATGTCTGATATATAAAATTAAAATGTTATATATTTTGCAATTGCTAGAGTGATCTTGGGATTCTTATCACTGAGCAAAAGAGCCCGGGTTTCCGGAGTATCGGGGGACGATTGGTTGAATTGAATTGGGGTCATTTCCTGCTGGAACACGCTGAAACGGCGCTCCGGCAGTAAGGAGCACAGGGCGCCCCCCCCCCCGGGCCGCCTTTCCTGGCCTGCATGCCTGCCATTTGTCAGGGGGTGTGGCATATGCAAATGAGGTATGCAAATGAGTGCATGCACCTGTTTTACTATGAAATGACCCCTGAATAAAGGCCTAATATAGTAATCCCTCATAATCTCAAAAAAGTCTGCATTCCAGCAGGGGCGTGAAAGGGTGTGTATCAATCCGGTTAAGGCCAGAAGGGCAAATTCTGTCGGTGTCGGGCCTATTCAAAAATCTCCCTTGCAAAACCATTGTGGGTATAATGTTCAGTCTTGCAAACAAAAATCTCTGCAATAAGGTGGGATGGTAAAATGATAGTACATATCGGGGGGGGGGATGTTAAAGATTTTGGGTAAGAAAAACCAAAAAATAGGGATGAGTGTACTCCAAGGACTCCTAGAATCGAACTACCACGGTCAACTTCCAGGACTCGCTTTTTGATCAGTGAAAATGCTGTGGTGTTGCCCATCTCAGAATTATCAACTAAGGAGGTCATTTGCCTTATTGAGGGATTAAAATTAGGAAAAGTTCCAGGCTCTGATCTAATCTCTAATGAGCTATTCAAGGCTGATCCATTATGCTGGGCTACAGTCCCTGCCCCATTGTTCACTCAAATTAACATCAGTGGACATAAGAACATAAGAGAAGCCAATGTTGGATCAGGCCAATGGCCCATCCAGTCCAACACTTGTCACACAGTGGCCCAAAATACCAGGTGCCATCAGGAGGTCCAGCAGTGGGGCCAGGACACTAGAAGCCCCTCCCACTGTTGCCCCCCCCAGCACCAAGAATACAGAGCATCCCTTGCCCCAGACCAAGAGTTCCTATCCATACCTTGTGGCTAATAGCCACTGGTGGACCTCTGGTCCATATGCTTATCCAATTCCCTCTTGAAGCTGTCCATGCTTGTAGCCGCCACCTCCTGTGGCGGTAAATTCCACGTGTGAATCACTCTTTGGGTGAAGAAGTACTTCCTTTTATCCGTTCTAACCCGACCGCTCTGCAGTTTCATGGAGTGCCCATGAGTTCTTGTATTGTGAGAAAGGGAGAAAAGTGCCTCTTTCTCTACCTGCTCTAGTCCATGCATAATCTTATAGATCTCGATCATGTCACCCCTCAGCTGTTGTTTCTCCAAGCTAAAGAGCCCCAAGCCCTTTAACCTTTCTTCATAGGGAAAGCGTTCCAACCCTTTGATCATTCTAGTTGCCCTTTTCTGCACTTTTTCCAATGCCATAATATCCTTTTTGAGGGGTGGTGACCAGAACCGACAAATACCTGATTCATGGAAGCATTCTATTATTGTCCCGATATTTAAAAAGGGGTCCAGAAATGACCCATTCCTGTTATCGACCAATCAGCCTTCTCTCTTCTCCAGGAAAACTATATTTGGCTTAGTTACTAAGGAAGCTCCTGGATTGGATGGAATCATTTTCTAGTCCGTCTGGACTTTGAATGTAGGTTTGCAGATGTGTGACAAACAACTCTTTCAGGAATGCAGGGTTGACCAACAGTTCAGCCTGCAGGTCTGGATTCTCCCGAGGCAACCTTTTCAGTAGCTGGAGAGTGTCATTGCTCAGTTTGCCGAATGGTGGGGGGAGGGCCCTCCCCTCCGGGTGAAGAACGTTTCATGGTCTGGGCCGGATGGAGGGGCAGAGATCTGTGCCTTTCCGCCTTCTGCAGCCCATGGTTTACTTTCCCATTACACGTGTCCCAGAGTACCGTGTGCAATCTTGGAAGGCAATCAGAGAAGGTGGCCCGTATCCAGATGTGCCCAGTGGCCACAGAAGAAGCCGAGGGTCAATTTCTCCGGTTGCACTCCCCCCCCTACTGGGACATGTGGGAAAGGGCAGATGAAGCCCAGGAGGGGGCCAGCAGATGGCCTTCCTTGCACTCCCGGAAGCCAGGCATGTAGCTGAGCACGTGGCCCAATAGTCAGGGGGCAGAATTTTAGTCCCCACATATCCCCATGAGTGGAAGATGTAGAACCACTGGTGCACATGAGCAGAAGGAACCAACATGGTTTGCAGTTGTGTGACGACGTGCACCTTGCAGCGTTCCCGTGGCATTCAGGATCTGTATTGAAAACGGTTGTGTGCACAAAGCCCCACATATATGGCAAGGTTGCGTCAGTATACCATCCAAAAGGACGCTGCCAGTTTGGTGTAGTTGGTTAAGTGTGTGGACTCTAATGTGGGAGAACTGGGTTTGATTCCCCACTCCTCCGCTTGCAGCTGCTGGATGACCTTGGGCAAGCCACAGTTAGGTCAGAGCTGTTCTCTCATGAGCAGTCCTTGAAAGAGCTCTCTCAGCCCCGCCTACCTCACAGGGTGTCTGTTGTGGGGAGGAGAAGGGAAAGGAGTTTGTAAGCCACTCTGAGACTCCGAGTGAAGAGTGGGGTATAAATCTAATATCCTCCTCCTCCTGAGGTGGCTTCTGAGGATAGCCCTCTTGGTCTGCAGTCAAACAGCTGGATTTGAGTCAAGGAGTGCATTAGAGACCAACAAGATGTCTGGGGTATGAGCTTTCAGTTTGGTGTCGTGGTTAGGGGCACGGACTCTAATCTGGGAGAACCGGGTTTGATTCCCCACTCTTCCACATGCAGCTGCTGGTGTGACCTTGGGTCAGTCACAAGTTCTCTCAGAGCTCTTCTCTCAAGGGCAGTTCTAATAGAGCTCTCTCAGCCCCACCCACCTCACAGGGTATCTATTGTGGGGAGGGGAAGGTGATTGTAAGCCACTCTGAGACTCCGAGTGAAGGGCATGGGGTATCAATCCAATCTCCTCCTCCTCCTCCTTTGTGGCTGTCGTTTGACACAGCGTTTATTCTCTTTCCACAGTACTCAACAGAGCTCAAGAAGCTCTATTGTCAAATAGCCAAGACGTGTCCCATCCAGATCAAAGTGATGACCCCCCCGCCGCAGGGCGCCGTCATCCGGGCCATGCCCGTGTACAAGAAAGCCGAGCACGTCACCGAAGTGGTCAAGCGGTGCCCCAACCACGAGCTCAGCCGCGAGTTCAACGAGGGTGAGTCGGGCGGCCAAACCTTTTGCTCTACGTTGTGTCTTCACTGCGCTGCCTGCTGGGTGTCCTGAAAAACCGCCCCGTGGTTCTAACAGAGGATTCGGTGTGGCTTGACATGGCTCGGTTGTAACGGCAAACCGCGTTTTCCAGCAAGCCCTGGAGAAGCTACCGGTACCCTCAAGCATGTGTTGCCGTCTAATTCGTTCCGCTTTTACTGTTGTATCCACGCTGGCCAACCGTGGTTTATACTTCCCCTGCGGATCAGGATTCCAAACCAGTCTTAAACCAGTTTGGTGTAGTGGTTAAGTGTGCGGGCTCTAACCTGGGAGAACCGGGTTTGATTCCCCTCTCCTCCACTTGCACCTGCTGATGTGACCTTGGGTCAGTCACAAGCTCTGGCACAGCTGTCCTTGAAAAAGGGCAGTTTCTGTCAGAGCTCTCTCAGCCCCACCTACCTCACAGGGTGTCTGTTGTGGGGAGGGGAAGGGAAAGGAGTTTGTAAGCCGCTCTGAGACTCCTTTGGGTAGGTGGGGGTATAAATCCAATCTCCTCCTCCTCTTCTTTTTCTCCTTCCTCCTCCTCCACTTGCACCTGTTGGATGACCTGGGGCAAGCCATAGTTCTGTCAGAGCTGTCCTTGAAAAAGAGCAGTTTCTCTCAGAGCTCTCTCAGCCCCACCTACCTCCCAGGGTGTCTGTTGTGGGGAGGGGCAGGGAAAGGAGTTTGTCAGCCACTCTGAGACTCCTTCGGGTGGTGAAGGGTGGGGGGGATAAATCCAATCTCCTCTTCTTCTTCTGTTCGGAACATGAGAGCACCCCTGTTGGGCCAGACGCACAGGCCACCCGGTCCAGCACCTTTTTCCGCACAGTGGCCGACCAGCTGCCCCTCGAAGGCCTGTGAACAGAGCGCAGAAGCCTTTCCCTGTTGCTGCCCCCCTCTAAGCACTGACGATCCAGTGCCTCTGAACATGGAAGTTCCTCTTTGTTGTTGTGGCTGCTCACCATGAGCCTCCCTTCCACCATCTTTTAAAGCCAATTAAACTAGTAAAAAGGTAAAAGTCAAAGGTTCCGTTGCTCGAAAGCCAGTCGAATCCGACTCTAGGGTTGCGGTGCTCATCTCCGTTTCCAAGCCGAAGAGCCAGCGTTGTCCGAAGACGTTTCCGTGGTCATGTTGCCGGCATAACTAAACACCAAGGCACACGGAACGCTGTTACCTTCCCAACGAAGTGGTACCTATTTATCTACTTGCAATTTCTTGCTTTCGAACTGCTAGGTTGGCAGGAGCTGGACACAGAGACAGGATCTCACTCCGTCATGCGGCAATTTGGGTCTCGAACTGCTGAACTACCGACCTTCCACAGCCTGCAGTTCAGCGTCTAGCGGCTGCTATATGTCGGCAGTGAGTTCCGCAGGCCGATTTCTGGTTTACAGGGACAGCACGAATTGAAGCTCGGATGCAGCATCCAGCTGGCTGCAGAAGGAACGAATTATCTCCCGCTGAGGAAGGGGATAGGGTTGCCAACCTCCAGGTGGAGACTGGGGATCTGGAGAAAGTGGCTACTTTGGAGGCGACTCATAGAATCAAAGAATCATAGAGTTGGAAAGGGACCTCCAGGGTCATCTGGTCCAACCCCCTGCACAAGGCGGGGAACTAGTACTCTGTGGCATTATGCCCCACACTCACTTTCCCCCAAACCCTGCCCTCTCCACGCTCCAACCCCAAAGTCTCCAGGAATATCCCAACATAGACTTTAGTGCCTTCGGCACTCATTCACATAGCAGCAAACCTGGGCCGTCCCCCTACCTCTGAGCTGTGTCCTGGGGTCTTGGCCTCAGCCTACAGAATCTGGATTACTGGCCCTGTCTGGCATCTCTGGAGTTTGGAAGGTATGCTGAAAACTGGGAGAAATGCCCAAGGGAATCTGGAGGCTACTTATTTTCTCTGCCCTGGAGCCGTGCTTGTGTCTCATGGACAGTCCAAAACAGCTATCTGTAAGCGTGGTCTGTCCATCCTCCTGAAGAGGGTCAAAGAGTAACATGGGGAGTCCCCAGTATGGGCAGGTGATGAATGATTAAGAGCAGGGGTCATTTGGGGCCAGAGCGAGGCGGAGCAGCACTCTAGCAACCCAGGAGCGGGTACAAATGGCGGTAGCGGCAAGCCCCGCCCCCAGCTCCCAGAGGATCTGGCTGGCTGCTGTTCGAGACAGGATGCTGGAGTAGATGGACTAGATGGACCCTTACTGGTCTGATCCAGCAAGGCTCTTCTGATCTTCTTATGAAGGCCTCGGCCTCTATGCCCTGTTGTTGGACCGCCAGAGGAACTGGTTGACCACTGGGTGAGATAGGAGGCTGGACTAGATGGACCCTCTCTGGTCTGATCCAGCAAGGCTCTTCTGATCTTCTTATGAAGGCCTCGGCCTCTATGCCCTGTTGTTGGACCGCCAGAGGAACTGGTTGACCACTGGGTGAGATAGGAGGCTGGACTAGATGGACCCTCTCTGGTCTGATCCAGCAAGGCTCTTCTGATCTTCTTATGAAGGCCTCGGCCTCTATGCCCTGTTGTTGGACCGCCAGAGGAACTGGTTGACCACTGGGTGAGATAGGAGGCTGGACTAGATGGACCCTCTCTGGTCTGATCCAGCAAGGCTCTTCTGATCTTCTTATGAAGGCCTCGGCCTCTATGCCCTGTTGTTGGACCGCCAGAGGAACTGGTTGACCACTGGGTGAGATAGGAGGCTGGACTAGATGGACCCTCTCTGGTCTGATCCAGCAAGGCTCTTCTGATCTTCTTATGAAGGCCTCGGCCTCTATGCCCTGTTGTTGGACCGCCAGAGGAACTGGTTGACCACTGGGTGAGATAGGAGGCTGGACTAGATGGACCCTCTCTGGTCTGATCCAGCAAGGCTCTTCTGATCTTCTTATGAAGGCCTCGGCCTCTATGCCCTGTTGTTGGACCGCCAGAGGAACTGGTTGACCACTGGGTGAGATAGGAGGCTGGACTAGATGGACCCTCTCTGGTCTGATCCAGCAAGGCTCTTCTGATCTTCTTATGAAGGCCTCGGCCTCTATGCCCTGTTGTTGGACCGCCAGAGGAACTGGTTGACCACTGGGTGAGATAGGAGGCTGGACTAGATGGACCCTCTCTGGTCTGATCCAGCAAGGCTCTTCTGATCTTCTTATGAAGGCCTCGGCCTCTATGCCCTGTTGTTGGACCGCCAGAGGAACTGGTTGACCACTGGGTGAGATAGGAGGCTGGACTAGATGGACCCTCTCTGGTCTGATCCAGCAAGGCTCTTCTGATCTTCTTATGAAGGCCTCGGCCTCTATGCCCTGTTGTTGGACCGCCAGAGGAACTGGTTGACCACTGGGTGAGATAGGAGGCTGGACTAGATGGACCCTCTCTGGTCTGATCCAGCAAGGCTCTTCTGATCTTCTTATGAAGGCCTCGGCCTCTATGCCCTGTTGTTGGACCGCCAGAGGAACTGGTTGACCACTGGGTGAGATAGGAGGCTGGACTAGATGGACCCTCTCTGGTCTGATCCAGCAAGGCTCTTCTGATCTTCTTATGAAGGCCTCGGCCTCTATGCCCTGTTGTTGGACCGCCAGAGGAACTGGTTGACCACTGGGTGAGATAGGAGGCTGGACTAGATGGACCCTCTCTGGTCTGATCCAGCAAGGCTCTTCTGATCTTCTTATGAAGGCCTCGGCCTCTATGCCCTGTTGTTGGACCGCCAGAGGAACTGGTTGACCACTGGGTGAGATAGGAGGCTGGACTAGATGGACCCTCTCTGGTCTGATCCAGCAAGGCTCTTCTGATCTTCTTATGAAGGCCTCGGCCTCTATGCCCTGTTGTTGGACCGCCAGAGGAACTGGTTGACCACTGGGTGAGATAGGAGGCTGGACTAGATGGACCCTCTCTGGTCTGATCCAGCAAGGCTCTTCTGATCTTCTTATGAAGGCCTCGGCCTCTATGCCCTGTTGTTGGACCGCCAGAGGAACTGGTTGACCACTGGGTGAGATAGGAGGCTGGACTAGATGGACCCTCTCTGGTCTGATCCAGCAAGGCTCTTCTGATCTTCTTATGAAGGCCTCGGCCTCTATGCCCTGTTGTTGGACCGCCAGAGGAACTGGTTGACCACTGGGTGAGATAGGAGGCTGGACTAGATGGACCCTCTCTGGTCTGATCCAGCAAGGCTCTTCTGATCTTCTTATGAAGGCCTCGGCCTCTATGCCCTGTTGTTGGACCGCCAGAGGAACTGGTTGACCACTGGGTGAGATAGGAGGCTGGACTAGATGGACCCTCTCTGGTCTGATCCAGCAAGGCTCTTCTGATCTTCTTATGAAGGCCTCGGCCTCTATGCCCTGTTGTTGGACCGCCAGAGGAACTGGTTGACCACTGGGTGAGATAGGAGGCTGGACTAGATGGACCCTCTCTGGTCTGATCCAGCAAGGCTCTTCTGATCTTCTTATGAAGGCCTCGGCCTCTATGCCCTGTTGTTGGACCGCCAGAGGAACTGGTTGACCACTGGGTGAGATAGGAGGCTGGACTAGATGGACCCTCTCTGGTCTGATCCAGCAAGGCTCTTCTGATCTTCTTATGAAGGCCTTGGCCTCTATGCTCTGTTGTTGGACCTCCAGAGGAAATGGGTGGCCACTGTGTGAGAGACAGGATGCTAGACTAGACGGCCTATTGGTCTTATCCAGCAGGGCTCTTCTTATGTTCTTATGATTATAATTCTAAAAAAAACAATATTTGCTGTCTTCCTTCAGGATGGTATAGTCTTGTGGCTTGAGACCGAAGTTGTTTTGCTGTTTTCTGAGGAGAAATCCAGGTGTTTTCTTTCTTAGCATTCGAAATAAGGTTCGAAGGCAGGCTTTGGGGCCTCCTCTGGGCTGGCTTGGATTTGCTCTGAAGTCCGGCACTGTGCTTGTGTGTGTGGAAAGTGTCATCAGGTCACAGCCAATTTACGGCGAAACCGTAAGGTTTTCAAGGCAAGAGACAGACAGAGGTGGTTTGCCATTGCCTTCCCTCTGCGTAGCAACCCCGGACTTCCTTGGTGGTCTCCCATCCGTTTACTAACCAGGGCCCACCCTGCTTAGCTTCTGAGACGTAATGAGGTCGGGCTAGAGGGAAAATCTTCAGCTCAGCCTCTTAATTTGTAATTCATTTATTTATTTTAAAATCAAGATTAGAGATGGGGAAAAACTGGAAAATTTCGGGGGGGGGGGAACATTCTCCCCCCCCCCCCATTTTTTCCCTTAACCCTTTTTTTTTTTTTTTCCCCAAAAGTCCCGAAAAGTTGGAAAAATTGAAAAAAGAAAAGAAATTGATTACGGAACGTTTTATTTTAACATGATGAATAAAATATTTTAAGGCAAGGTGTTCAAATATTTTCCAAATCATTTCTAAAAAAATAGGTATGGTGTCAGATTGATCTAATTTCTGTGCACTGAGGACAAGCAAGTCCTAGGTTACAAACTGAACTCTCCAATGCAAGAACAAGATGCATTCCTTCCTTCAGGAGATGAAATTGTCACAAGAAAAGAAAAAGGTTTCAGTTTTGTTTTTGCATGTGGGTGGGTATTCTGTTTGTAATAACTGTTTGGATACGCTATATTTTTAATATGCTAGTTGTGATAATTTCATGCCAAGTAGAAATGTCCATAGTCACATTTTATGTTCCTAAAGTAACAGAATGACTTTCAGTCTGGAAAAGAAAAAAGAAGTGCTAATGTAGCATTTTCTTCCATTCCCCCCCCCCCCAAAAAAAACGGGGAAACGGGGTTTTTTCCGAGCTTCAAAATTTTTGGAAATTTTACATCTCTAATTGTTCCGTCTGACGCTAAGTCAGGAGTCAACAGCACCTTCTGGACGTGATTCAACACACGGCCTGAGTAAAGTATAATTTCTATATTGTTGGAGGAATGGCTTCAAGGAAAATATATTTGTTTCCCTGTAGGGATATGGGCCAGAGTGCAACCAGGAGAGGAAATTTAAGGAACGCTTGTATCCCCAGAGTTTTTGGAAGGGAATGTGACAGGGAGAACACACCCCATAGTCCATGCGCCACAGGAGCACTGCTTCCGTTTCTGCAAGCTGGGCGGCCTTGCTTTATTGCCTTCCTTTTTATAAAAAAAAGTTGTGCATTTTCCTAGAAACTGAGATGGCAAGCAGTGTCGCTGAGGGCCAAGCCCATCTGTATTATAAGCTGCCTTGAGCTCTGTAAGGAACCAAGGCGGCTAAAAAAATGTTTTAAATAAGTAAATGAATACGTTTTGTGTCCAGGCCTAGATAGGCCAGTCTAACTTGTTCTCGTCAGATCTTGGAAGCTAAGCAGGGTCTGTCCTGGATACTCCTTGGATCGGATAACAATGATAATTATTACTATTATCATATGGCAGTGTGGTGTGGAATAGCCAGGAGATCCTAAGATTGTCTGGCAGCTAGAAGTTCTAGCTCTTTTAGCGTTATACACCACTAGGTGGCGAGCTAGACTTGCTTTTAAGGCAAGAGACATTTCAGCCGTGGTTTTGCCACTGCGTCATGACCCTGGTATTCCTTGGAGGTTGCCCTTCTAAATACTAGCCAGGGGGCCAACCCTGATTAGCTTCCAAGATCTGACAATATCGGGCAGGCCTGGGCTATCCAGATCAGGGCCGCTTATTTGGGAGACCACCAAGGAAGCTGAAGATGGCTATGCAGAGGCAGGCAATGGCAAACCAACCCTGAACACCTCTTGCCTTGACTTGGATAACTCTGGCTAGCCAGATCTCATCAGATCTCAGAAGATAAGGAGGGTGTCAGAACCCACAGCCAACAACGAAGTACACGCATTCAGGAACGGTTATACTTTTATTGCAGAGCTATAGATGCAGTAACATAGGCACTGTTAAGAATGGCGGCGGCCCCAGGGGCATAATATGATATAGGGTATTCGTATGCAAAACCCCCCCCCCAACAGCACTGGCCAATTAGGTACCCTCCCGCGCGCGGGATAAGGCTTAGAGACCGTTAGGTAGCTGAAGCTGAGAACGAACACTCTCCCATGACACCTAGGGAAAACCCAGACACCACAACACCCTCCTGCACATCTGTATAGATAAGCCTTTCCGCACACAGCAGAGAAAGCACAGAAAGGAATGCAGTAGCAATTAACCTGAAAGGAAAGCAATAGCAATTAACCAGATACAGACCAAACTCCCCAACCTTCATGGCTGACAGAGGGTTAATACTTGGATGGGAGACCACCCAGAAAGTCCAGGGTTGTTGCTCAGAGGCAGGCAATAGCAGACCACCTCTGGAAGCTTCTTGCCTTGGAGACCCTCCGGGGACGCCGTATGTCAGATATATGACTTGATGACATGGAGCGGCCGTGGCCTCACCTTGCAGAGGCTTTGTTCACCTTCAGTGATGCATCTACCAAAATCTGATGGGCTAAATGCCAACCTTGTTGTGGGGTGCCTTTGTCGCAAATCCGGAAGCTGCAGCTGGTGCAGAATGCTGCGGCCAGGCTGTTGATGAGTCTGCCTAGAAGGGACCACATCCAGCCTGTGCTGAAAGCGCTGCACTGGCTGCCAATAGCGTACCGGATTCGCTTCAAAGTGCTGGTTCTTACCTTTAAAGCCCTACATGGTCGGGGTCCGGCTTACCTAAGGGACCGCCTTTCCCCATATGTTTCCCCACGGGCACTACGGTCGGGTGCGAAACATCTCCTGGCAATACCAGGCCCGAAGGAGGCCAGGCTGGCCATTACCAGGGCCAGGGCTTTTTCGGTGGCGGCTCCTACCTGGTGGAACGAGCTCCCGGAGGAGATCAGGGCCCTGCGGGACTTAATGCAGTTCCGCAGGGCCTGCAAGACGGAGCTCTTCCGCCAGGTGTTTGAGTAGGAGCCGCCACTATGGTACCATCATTACCTGGCCCTGGAGGAAAGAACGCCGGCATTGTCCGGAACAGAGGACACTGAGCTAGTAGAGCTGCAGTAAGTTCGTCATCTTTGTGGAATATCTGGAGCACTTTATATATGTAATTTTGTAATGTCGTATAATGTGTAAATGGTTTTTAAAATGTTTTTATGTGTGGGCGTATGCCTGTCTGTGACCCGCCCTGAACCCACTTTTGTGGGGAGGGAGGGCTATAAATCGAAACAAATAAATAAATAAATCTACCAAAATCTGATGGGCTCAACGCCAGCCTTGCTGTGGACCAAATCAGAGGAGATGCTGGAGGTTCAACGACTGGGTCGGTCGGCAGGGCTCAGTGGTTAGAGCCCCAGACCAGGATTTGGGGAGGTGAGAGCTCAGATCCTGCGAAGCAAATCCGATACCCGTCCGACAAGTCGCTTTCTTATGGCCTCGCGGGAACGTTGTGAGGACAGAAAGAGGGGAGGGAGGGGCGTTATATCCTACCCCAAACTCTGTCGTGGAGGAAGGTGGGGAGAGAAAAGAACGACGTGTGTGCAAAAGACTGACCCTTTCCCTCTTCTCCTTCCGCAGGTCAAATAGCTCCTCCCAGCCACCTGATCAGAGTCGAAGGCAACAGCCACGCCCAGTACGTGGAGGACCCCATCACGGGGAGGCAGAGTGTCCTCGTGCCCTACGAACCACCGCAGGTGACTTGGCAAATTATTATTATTGTTTATTTCTTTATAAATTAGGCTTCCGGACCCGCCCTCCCCTGCAAAACAGGGCTCGGCGCGGTGTGCAACAACAAAAACACGTCCATAAGTTAACCAACAATAAAACAAAATACAGCAATTGACATTTACTAGATGGCGCTAAAACGCCACATTGTGCCACTGCCCCAGGGCCGAATACGGGGTGGGGAGACCAGAAACGGAGTGCCAAGCAAGGTGGAAGCCGTCGTTGCCCTCAACGAAAAGCTTGGCGGAACATCTCTGCTTTACAGGCCCTGCGGAACTGCATTGAGTCCGGCAGGGCCCGGATGTTATTCGCCAGAGAGTTCCAGCATGGTCTCCTAAGCCAGGGATATCAAGGATAAGGCCCGGGGGCTGGAATAGGCCCATCCAGGGCTCTTACCTGCCCCACAAGCAACTGGTATGTATGGAAATGTAGAAGAAGAAGAAGAAGAAGAAGAAGAAGAAGAAGAAGAAGAAGAAGAAGAAGAAGAAGAAGAAGAAGAAGAAGAAGAAGAAGAAGAAGAAGAAGAAGAAGAGGAGGAGGAGGAGGAGGAGGAGGAGGAGGAGGAGGAGGAGATTGGATTTATACCCCACCCTTCACTACCCAAAGGATCTCAAAGCAGCCTACAGACTCCTTTCCCTTCCCCTCCACACAACAGACACCCTGTGAGGTAGGTGGGGCTCGGAGAGCTCTGACAGAAACGGCTCTTTTTCAAAAACAGCTCTGACAGAACTACAGCTTGCCCAAGGTCATCCAGCCAGGTGCAAGTGGAGGAGTGGGGAATCAAACCCGGTTCTCCCAGATTAGAGTCCGCGCCCTTAACCACTACATCAAATTGGCTCTCCAGTTTGTAAGGTTCTCCCCCTTTTATAGTATCTCTTGGGGGGTGGGGAAGTCTTGCATGTGATTAAATACATTTATTGGGGCTTTGGTGGGTTCCCCAGTGAATCACTTGCTTTCACTGCTAGGAATCAATTGCTTTTGTTTGCATTTTTAGTTAAAAAAGATATTGTTAACTGGGTTCCAGTACCTGGTGTTACATTTTATGGCACACAGGGCCCAGCCCGACAAAGTCAGATCCGGCCCTCGTAACGAGCGAGTTTGACACCTCTGTCCTAAGCTGTCTTGCCTCTGTGTCACGCCAAACTGATCTTTCCAGCATACAAAACATTAAGATAAGGGCAATTATCAAAAATACTGTGGGTCCAGCCAACTATTTAACATCTCTTGAAATGAAAGGGTTTAGGAGAGCCTTCGCTCTGGCGAGGTGCTCTGCCCTCCGTTATGCTGTACTTGAAGGAAAATACAAGAATGCTCCTTTCTCAGCAAGGCTTTGTGCCTGCCCATTAAGGGAGGTTGAGACTGCAGAGCACATGTTTTTTAGATGTCCGTATTATCAGGTGCTGCGTAATAAAATCACTCCGCTGACTCAACAAATTCCGGGTCTTTCCGAAAAAGCTAGACTCAAGTTTCTTCTGTCTGATAGAATCCCATTTTGCCTCTTGCTGCGATTCGTGCCGTGCACCCCAAATGACCCCTGCATTTCTTTCCCTCCAGGTGGGCACTGAATTCACAACCGTCTTGTACAACTTCATGTGTAACAGCAGCTGCGTGGGGGGCATGAACAGGCGCCCCATCCTTATCATCGTGACGCTGGAAACGAGAGAGTGAGTAGGAATTCGGCGGGGAAGGGAGGTGCAGTCAGCATGGCCGGCAAAGCCCGCCTTAAGGCTCAGCTACCTTTCCGAGTTCAGCGGATGGTGCATGAGCCAGAAAGCGGGAACCAACTAACAGCCTTTTGGTGCGCCTCTCTTCTTGCCCAAGTTCCGGCCACGGTTCGTTGAAGATTTCGAGCCCCACCCCTGTGCCAGGTGCCTTTCGGGCAGCGGACCCTCATCTCGCTTAAGCCGCTCACAATCTGGGTATGACCCTCACTACCAAGGCTCCCTCTAAGCTGTGGAGTCTGGTGAGCAAAAATTCTACTTTGTGAGCTACTGGCGTTAAAGTCGGGATGCGAGCGACTCGGCGACTGCATGAATTAGTTTGCTCTGGAGCCAGCCTTCCTGAGCTGAGACAAAAAGGCGTGAGCTGGAGGATAAAAAAAACTGTGAGATAGAAGAGAAGAAGAAGAGATTGGATTTATACCCCGCCCTTCACTACCCAAAGGTGTCTCAGAGCGGCTTACGAACTCCTTTCCCCTCCCCTCCCCACAACAGACGCCCTATGAGGTGGGTGGGGCTGAGAGAGCTCTTGACAGAAACTGCTCTTTTTCAAGGACAGCTCTTATCAGAACTACGGCTTGCCCAAGGTCATCCACCCAGGTGCAAGTGGAGGAGTGGGGAATCAAACCCGGTTCTCCCAGATTAGAGTCCGTGCACTTAACCACTACACCAAACTGGCTCTCAGAGATAGCTCACACTAACTCAGCTTAGAGGGAACACTGCTCACTACCCACCCCCCAGTCGATGCACTTGAAGCCGTGATGTGGCTTCCGTGGAACCACAGAGGGGTTCTGTTCCACACAGCAAGCAAGATTGTTTTACTGGTTTCCTTGGCTTACCTCTCTCCCGCCATTCTCCCCAGTGGGGAGCAGTGTTCCCTCTAAGGTAAGTTAGTGTGAGTTAGCTCAGTTTTTTAGCCTCCGGCTCACACGTTTTTGTCTTCGCTCAGGAAGGAGGGCTCCGGAGCAAACTGATTTATCCAGTAGCCAAATCGCTCGCTCACAACTTCAGTGCCAGTAGCTTACAAAGTAGAATTTTGCTCACAAGGCATTAGAGGGAACATTGGTGGGGAGCCAGAGGGGCTTACTGCCTTCCCCACTTGTCTGTCGTGTCCTCACCACAGCCCTGTAAGGTAGGCGAGGCTGAGAGTAGCTGGCCCAAGGTCACCTGGCGATCTTCCATGGCAAGCTGGGATTCGAACCTGAGGCCTCCCAGGTTCTGATCGGGTGCACTAACCACTCCACCGCGGTGGCTCATTCAGACTCTCGTATGTCTGCGTATAAATCTGGCAGTACCTGGAATCCAGTCTGCGCGTGGAGAAAGTTATTTGGGCATGCCAGGTGTCTGGCTGCTGGCCTGAACTTTGTAGGCAGTGCAGACTTTTGATTCGTGTCGTCTGATGGGTACTGGGGTGGGGGTGGGTGAGCCCAAGATCATAGTCACAGATCCACTATTGGTCTGATCCAGCAGGTCTCTTCTGATGTTGTTACCAGGGAAAGACCTTGGCCTCTCTGCCCTGTTATTGGCCCTCAAGAGGAACTAGTTGGCCACTGTGTGAGACAGGAGGCTGGAGTAGATGGACCCTCATTGGTCTGATCCAGCAGGTCTCTTCTGATGTTCTTAGGAAGGCCTCTGCCCCTCTGCCCTGTTGCTGGCCATCCAGAGGAACCGGCTGGCCACTGTGTGAGACAGGCTGCTGGACTAGATGGACCCTCACTGGTCTAATCCAGCAGGGCTCTTCTGATGTTCTTATGAAGGCCTCGGCCTCTGTGCCCTGTTGTTGGCCCTCCAGAGGAACCGGCTGGTCACTGTGAGAGACAGGAGGCTGGGCTAGATGGACCCTCACTGGTCTGACCCAGCAGGGCTCCTCTGATGTTCTTATGAAGGCCTCGGCCTCTCTGCCCTGTTGCTGGCCCTCCAGAGGAACTGGCTGGCCACTCTGTGGGACAGGATGCTGGACTTGATGGACCCTCACTGGTCTGATCCGGCAAGGCTCTTCTGATGTCCTTATGGATCTGTGTATACAAAGCCCTTCTTTGGAGCTTACATGAGAAGCTCTCAGGGGCTGCACTCATTTTGCAATGCCCGCATTCTGGTGCCAGCCTTTGCACCGATGTGCAGTAACTGACCTTGCCGTTCTCGATCCCTCCAGCGGGCAGGTCCTGGGGCGTCGGTGCTTCGAGGCTCGGATCTGCGCCTGCCCAGGCAGGGACCGCAAAGCAGACGAGGACAGCATCCGGAAGCAGCAAGTCTCCGACAGTACAAAGAACGGTGATGGAACAAAGCGCCGTAAGTAGCCCGAAGCAAATACCACTCAGGGCTGTGGCTGGATCGGGGACACCCCGGCACGTAGCTCCGTGTGCCAGACGGTGGAGAGGGAAGATCTTCCATGTTATGCTGTTGTGGGATCGTGCAAATATTCCCAATGGCACGGAACCCTTCCGCAAGCAAAAGAGGCTTCTAATGTTGGCTTCTGACGCTGTTTTGCATTCCGGAGTTCCCCTCTTTATGCGCTCGGGAGGAACGGAGCGCCTTGGGGCTGAGCCAGCAGCAAAACCTGTCTGTGAAAGACAAACGTGTTCTCCCCCTTCATTGATTCTCGCAGCCCAAATCCTGCTAAGAGACATTTTATTTATTTCTTTTTACAATATGTATGTCCCGCCTTTCCGCTTTCACAAGCGCCACTGAAGAAGCTAACACATTAAAACCTAACATGGTACAAAATCTAACGCCATTAAAACTGCCCCCTCCAAAGTATGCACACACACACACACACATCATTAAGAACGGGGCTAAAATCTCTACAAAGAAATAACAGCAGCCATTAAAACACTGGTCAGGAAGGAGGGGGTCACCGAGAGCACGCCGGAGGAAGCAAAATAGTCTCCGCCCGCGTTTAGTTAAATATCTGTAATGGCAGCAGCCTCTGCGAAAGCCTTGGTGCGTGGCCAGCCACACAGGGTGGTCCCAGGAATCTCCAGCCGAAGGGAAACCCTTCCTGCACTAGAAAGACTGACACGGATTTTCATAGCAGAAGGTTTTGTGGGCCTTGAGTGCACTTTTTATCAAAGGCATGAACTGAATTCCAAGGCAGCAAGATCTTTAGGAGAATGGAAAAAACCAGGATGAGTTAGAAGGCCTGGTTTCGGGCGGTTCTGTGCAAAGCACAGAGGCACCCAGAAGAGCTCAGTGGTCATTTTTAATGGATAGAATTGGCGGAGATCCAGATAGGCAGTAGTCCAGCGATGCCTAAAGATGGACAGGTGTGTCAGGGCCCTTAGTCAGGTTACTCAACCCAGGGCTTCACGAGAAGATAACTGTTAATTGGTAAATCCAGTACTAGCGACACGTGTACAGCTTGTTTCAGGAATGGCCGCCAGTACTAGGACCTCTGACTATACTAGAATCAAACATCCCCCCTGTAAATATGAGCCAATCGATACATCTCACACGCGCGGGCAAAGCAAGCAAGCAAAGCAAAAGCCGTTGACTTTCCCAGCGGAGAAAACTGCAGCTGGAGCATCTACAAGGTCAAGCCTAAGATAGCAAACGGTTGGTGAGCCAGGGAGAATTGAGACAGAAAACGGGAGGGCACCCCTCCACATTCCAGACCTATGACAGGGCTACCTGACAAGGCGTTTCTCCTAGCCGGGTCTTCATGCCATTGTGCAGGGCTTAGATGTACACAGTGGCGGGGGTGGGGGTGGTTGTGCACAGGTAGGTCAAAGGGCCTGCACACTTAAGGCAAAACCGAGAAAAGCGCTGATTTTTTAAAGTTCATTTATCCGCATTATTTATAGTTCCCCTTTCTTGCAGGGGCTCAAGGCAAACGGCACATAGTGAGTCAGTGCACTCGACAAACTGGGACATACAATACAACAGTGCATTAGGATTTTAGAAGTCTAGAGCCCCCAGAGAGAACTGACACATAGCTTTGGTATTAACATGGCACATTAAGCGGTGCAGAAATGACATGGTGGTATCCTGCTCACAGTAAACTCGCTGTAGCAGTGTAGACAGCCATCTGTAATCCAAGAAAGTAGGTGAAACCGTTTTGTACAGGGCAACCTTTTTGCCCGTGCAGAAAAGCCCTCTTGAATAATTAAGAACATAAGAGACACCAATGTTGGATCAGGCCAAAGGCCCATCCAGTCCGTGTCACACAGTGGCCAGAAATACCAGTGCCATCAGGAGGTCCACCAGTGGGGCCAGGACATTAGAAGCCCTCCCACTGTTGACCCCCCCCCCCAAGCACCAAGAAGACAGAGCCTCACTTGCCCCAGAGCCCCTATCTATACCTTGTGGCTAATAGCCACTGATGGACCCCTGCTCCATATGCCTATCTAATTCCCTCTTGAAGCCGTCCATGCTTGTAGCCGCCACCACCTCCTGTGACAGTGAATTCCATGTTTTAATCACTCTTTGGGTGAAGAAGGACTTCCTTTTATCCGTTCTAACCTGACCGCTCTGCAGTTTCATGGAGTGGCCACGAGTTCTTGTATTGTGAGAAAGGGAAAATTCACTTTTTGCATCGTTGTGGAAAGCCAGGACTTTGTTTGTTTATCAAATGTATACCCCCTCCCTCCCTGCGAACGAGCTCAGCGCAGATCACAACAACAGATCGGCCATTCGGCCACACGACAAAATGATAAACAGTCGGTACTGGTGCCACTGGACTCTAGGCCCATTAATCTGGGCCGCACGCAGATGGTGTCTTCAGTGGGGGTGGGGGCATTCTTTTTTTACTGGACGGCCGCCACCTCAGCCAAAGGCCTGGCGGAGAAGCTCCGTTTTACGGGCCCTGCGGAATGATAGACGGTCCCGCAGGAGCATGTTCCGCCAGGCTGGGGTCAGTGCAGAAAAGTCCCTGCTCAAAGCTAAATGAACGTTCAACCTTTAATAATGTGTTTTAGGGGGGCGGCCGTGTTGGTCTGTGACAGAATGGTTAGATTTGAGTCCAGCAACTCCTCAGAGACCAACAAGCTCTTCAGGGAATGGGGTTTTCGAGACTCAAAGCTCCTCTCGTCAGGTACAAATCGGAACGGAGATCTTGGGAGTCCTTCCAGGCAGAAAGGCGGAGTGGTTGGGGAAGCTGCAGAGAAGGGGGTCAGGACGCAGAGGTACGATGACCAAGGGAGTTGTGGCTCTCGAAAGGTTATATCCCGAAAAATCTGGCTGTTCTCTAAGGTGCTCCTGGGCTGGAATCGAACTTCGATAATCCGGTTATCCTTTAAGGTGCTACTAGACTCAAAGGCTACCAGTTGTGGGTTCAAGGTTGCCGCTGTGGAACGCTGTAAATATATCTTAGCAAAACAAAAATAGAGGGTGTCACGGGTCAGGGGGGTATCACCTGACGCTGCCACCACTCTGGATTTAGGTTCCCTTGAGAAGGCCCAGAGCGCCCTCCCAAGACCTTCAGACCTCCCTTTTGGCAGAATAATAGGCGTGAGGACCAGGCAGAGTGAAACAAGGAAAAGGTTTATTTTATAGGAGGTCAAACAAACAAGGTGCAGAATAATAACAGTAAGTGGGTGAAAAGAAAAGAAATTAAATGCCCTAACGCGTCTAAATATATGCTGTCCCTAGCTCACTATTCCAAGTGACACTGGACTACTCCCCCTTCCCTCAGGATGAGGGTTTCTTCCTGCAGCAGCCTTCCTTCTGGCTCTGCCCTCTTGGAAGAAAGAACAGCTTCTGCTCTGGCACCAGCCCTTTTGTTCCCCAGCCCTCTTCTTCCCTATTGGTCAATTTTGGCTCCAAAACCTCTCAGGGGCTTCTGGGAGTTGTAGGCCCAGCCTCACCTACTGCTAGCCAGGCTCCCTGGGCCTAGTAGGCCTCTGGTGGCACAGCCCAAATCATGACAGGGAGATGGCCAAGTGTTGGGTGGAGATCCTGCCTCTGCTCACCGTACAGCCTGGGTAGCATCCCTTGGCCTTTTGGGCCTCTTTCCTGCCGGACAGATTCTATCGTGGGCTCCAACGTCAGTTCGGAAACTTGAGTTGAAGGGCTTGGGAGGTTGACCGGCGGCCGCAGCCGTCTCAGCAACACTCATGGCTGAGTCGGGGTCCCGAATGGCGCACGACGGGATGCAAATCGAATTAAATAAATGAAATAGAAATAAATTGTATGTTTTCCCTCGGCAGCTTTCCGGCAGAGCACCCACGGCATCCAGATGACATCTGTCAAGAAACGGCGCTCCCCAGATGACGAGCTCTTATACCTGCCGGTAAGGGGGCTCTTCACTTCCTTCCCTCTCGCTGCCGTAGCCTCCCCCCCCCCCAGAGAAACCATCCCCAAATCCAGCATCCTCTGCAGGGAGGGGCTCACTTCAGAGTGATCGGGAGCAATGCTCCCTCTAAGCTGTGGAATCTTGTGAGCACAAAATTCTACTTTGTGGGTTCCTGGCATTAAAATTGTGAGCGAGTGGTTTGGCTGCTGCATCAACCAGTTTGCTCTGGAGCCCTCCTTCCTGAGCAAAGATAAAAACGTGAGCCGGAGGCTAAAAAACTGTGAGCTAGCTCACACTCACTCAGCTTTGAGGGAACACTGATTTAATTTATTTATGCCCACCTTTGTCCCCGACGGGGGGACCCAAAGCACCTTACCTCATTCTCTCCTCCTGCATTTTAGCCTCACAACGACCCTGTGAGGTGGTTTAGGCTGAGAGAGCATGTGACTGGACCAAGGTCACCCAGCAAGCTTCCATGGCTCGAGTGGGAACTCAAACTCGGGTCTCCAAGATCTTAGTCCAACACTCCTAACCACTACTTGAGTGGTCTGGGACCAGCGTATCCGTGGGACCTTCTCCTCTAGTACGCCCCTGGTGGGAGAGCATTATGCTCTTCACAGAACAACTTCCTGGTGATCTCCAGCCCTAGAGACATCCATGGTCCTCAACCTGGTGGAACTCTCTGCTACATAACATTAGGTCCTTGCAGGATCTCATGCAATTACACAGGGCCTATAAGGCCAGGGCCGGCTCACTCACTAGGTGAACTAGGCAATCGCCTAGAGCTGGCTGGCCCTTAGGGGCGCCAAACTGCACCTGGCCCCGTAAGCTGGGGCCAGCCCTGTGTAAGGCGGAGATGTTCCGCCAAGCGTTCGGTTGAGGATAGCGACGGCTTGCATCACCCTGTCTGGATCCTTATCTCCTGAACGATCTACTCCTACCCACCCACCCCCAACCCGGTGCCGTGATGCACCCGCAGGCCAGAAACGGCAGGGAACCACAACATTTCGCCACTCTATCTGAATGAATGAATGATGTGTTCTGATGATGGTTTTATGGTTTTTAAATTTGTGCATTACCTAGAGCCCCACAGTCGTGGGGATCGGGCGATTCAGAAATGCAATTAAATAAATAATACACCACGCTGGCTGTCTTTCCCCAGTGCTTGGGCATGCGCAGAGCAGTTTGGGGCAAAGAGCACCAGTTTCCGGGAACGGCTTAGAAGCAGGGAGGCTCTCTCTCTCTCTCTCTCTCTCTCTCTCTCTCTCTCTCTCTCTCTCTCTCTCTCTCTGCTCCTGACCTCACCCAACTTCTGAAATAGGAGCGGGTCGTTTGGGGTCAGGGGATGGGGAAAGCCCTCTGCCCCAGGAGGATCAGAAGCGTTGAATACTGGGAAGGAGTGAGGCTCTCCACCCTCGCCACCGAATTTCCAAAACTGTGCATGCCGAGAGAGAAAAAGAAGAAGAAATTGGATTTATACTCCGCCCTGCACTACCCAAAGGAGTCTCAGAGGGACTTACAAACTCCTTTCCCTTCCCCTCCCCAGAACAGACACCCTGTGAGGTAGGCGGGGCTGAGAGAGCTCTGACAGAAACGGCTCTCTCTCAAGAATCAAATAAAATCAAAATCAAATAAAATCAAAATCAAATAAAATCAAAATCAAATAAAATCAAAATCAAATAAAATCAAAATCAAATAAAATCAAAATCAAATAAAATCAAAATCAAATAAAATCAAAATCAAATAAAATCAAAATCAAATAAAATCAAAATCAAATAAAATCAAAATCAAATAAAATCAAAATCAAATAAAATCAAAATCAAATAAAATCAAAATCAAATAAAATCAAATAAATAAATAAATAAGAACAGCTCTTGTCAGAACTACGGCTTGCCCAAGGTCCTCCAGCAGGTGCAAGTGGAGGAGTGCGGAATCAAACCCGGTTCTCCCAGATTAGAGTCCGCGCACTTAACCACGACACCAAACTGACAGTTTTCTCCCTCTCCCACAATGCTAGAACTTTTGGGGAGGGGGGAGGTTACTTTGTGCAACCGGTAGCTTCTGGGCAGATAAAAGGAAGTGCCATGTTGTGTGATGGGTAGCTTTGGTGTGGAACTCCTTGCCAGAAGATTGATTGATTGATTGATTGATTGATTATCAGATTTATACCCCACCCTCCCAGCCAGGGCCGACTCAGGGCGATTTACAGAAAGAGTAAAACACACAGTAAACAGTTTAAACAATCCTAGAACCATATAAAACATGCTAACGTTAAAAAGTGCTGACACGGATGATGCTGATTTTAAAGATTTTAAAAGATGGCGGCCAACCTTCAGTATAGCATCCTAGCGGTCATCCCGTAGATCTAACATTATACTGCTGGCACAGTTGTTCTGATGACTTCAGGGGGACAGGGTTCTCTATCAGTGGGGGGCTCCTCCTAATCGAAAGCCTGGCGGAAGAGCTCCGTCTTGCAGGCCCCGCGGAGCCGCATAAGGTCATAGAATCATAGAATGTTAGAGTTGGAAGGGACCTTGAAGGTCATCTAGTCCAACCCCCTGCACTCTGCAGGAGCACAGCCGAAAGATTGCCCTACGACATACCCGAAAGATGGTCGTCCAGCCTCCACTTGAAAACGTCCAGCGAAGGAGCATTCACCCCCTCCCGAGGCAGACGGTTCCACTGCTCAACCACTCTTACAATTAGGAAGTTTCTCCTGATATTTAGCCGGTATCGACTCCACCCATTAGATCTAGTCTTGCAATCCGGAGCAAGAGAGAATAGATCCGCTCCATCTTCTACCTGACAGCCCTTCAAATACTTGAAGACTGCAATCGTGTCCCCTCTAAGCCTTCTCTTTCCCAGGCTAAACATACCCAACTCTTTCAGCCTTTCCTCCTACAAGACTTGGATTCCAGCCCTCTCACCATCCTGGTTGCCCTCTTCTGGACACGCTCGAGCTTGTCAACATCCTTCCTAAAATGTGGTGCCCAAAACTGGACACAGGACTCCAGGTGAGGCCTGACCATAGCAGAATAGAGCGGAAGTACCCCCTCCCGTGATCTGGGCACAATGCTTCTGTTAATGCATCCTAAGATTGCATTAGCTTTCTTTGCAGCCACATCGCAGTGCAGGCTCATGTTTAGCTTGTGGTCAACCAGAACACCCAGATCCCTTTCACATGTGCTGCTGTCAAGCCAAGTCCCTCCCGTTCTGTATCTGTGCCTTTGATTTTTTGTACCTAAGTGTAGGACTTTGCACTTCTCTCTATCGAAATTCATTTTATTTGTCTCCGCCCACTGTTCCAGCCTCTCTAGATCCTTTTGAATCCCGACTCTGTCTTCTTCAGAATTAGCAATCCCACCCAGCCTCGTGTCATCAGCAAATTTGATAAGCATCCCCCTCTATGTCTTCCTCCAGGTCATGTATAAAAACATTGAACAACACCGCATAGGATGTGACGATGGCCATTGGCTTGAATGGATTTGAAAAGGTGTTGGACAGATGTATGGAAGATCGGTCCGTCATGGGCTATTAGCTCTGAATAGGACCTTGGATTCAGAGGCAGAATGTGCTGGGATCTTCAGATGTTTGGAAGCAGCTGGTCACGGAGGGTGGTTGGCCCCCAAGCCCTTGCCTGTGGGCTTTCTGAGGTCATCTGGCTGGCCACTGGGAGACCACCAAGGAAGCCCAGGGCTGCTATTCAGAGGCAGGCAATGGCGAACCACCTCTGAAGCTCTCTTGCCCTGAAAACCCTCCGGGGTCATCATAAATCAGCTCTGACTTGATGAAGTCCCCAGCACACTACTTGGAGGTGGGGTTGCAGTCCCAACTAATGGCTGACCCCCAAACCCCTCCAGTTTGGACTCCCGCCCATCACGCTCCGGGACCGGCCAAGCGGGGGTCGATGCACCGTGGTCTGATGAAGGCCCAGCTGTTCTGTAGGGCACTAGCCCGAATACTATTTAAATCTGTGCAGGTTGTCTCTGCATCAAGTGATGGATTGATTTGATTTATGACATCTCTGTCCCGCCGTCCCAGACAAGGCCAGCTCAGGGCGGCTTACATAAAAACAGCATAAAATTTACAGTAAAGGTAAAGGTCTCCCTTGCTCGAAAGCCAGTCGAATCCGACTCTAGGGTTGCGGTGCTCATCTCTGTTTCCAAGCCGAAGAGCCAGCCCTGTCCGAAGACGTTTTCGTGGTCATGTGGCCGGCATGACTAAACACCGAGGCACACGGAACGCTGTTGCCTTCCCACCAAAGTGGTCCCTATTTATCTACTTGCAATTTCTTGCTTTTGAATTTACAATTTACAATGGTAGAGATTAAAAATTAAACAGCATCCATTGATACAAACAAACAATTCTAAAACCATAAGCTATAATAAAGTGCTGGTATCGATGATTTCACAGCGGTGTTATTACTTAGAGTCATAGAATGTTAGAGTTGGAAGGGACCTTGCAGGTCATCTAGTCCAACCCCTTGCACTCTGCAGGAGCATCTCGCCGTCAGCTCCTCGGTCTTCTTAGATTATCTTGTCGGTTCGCTCAGGCTGTAGTTAGAAGTCCCAGGGGAAGAGGTCTCTCCGAACATAGGCTGTCGGTAGTGGTGGTGGCTCCAAAAGCCTGGTGGAAGAGCTCTGTCTTGCAGGCCCTGCCAGAACTGGAAAAGGTCCCGCCGGGCCCTAGTCTCTTCCAGGAGCTCATTCCACCAGAGTGGAGCCGCCACCGAGAAAGCCCTGGCCCTGGTTGTTGCTAGACCTGGCCTCCTTGCGATTCCTGACTCTTTCTCATCTCTCCCTCCCCCCCCAATTGGTCCAGGTGCGCGGCAGGGAGACCTACGAGATGCTGCTGAAGATCAAGGAGTCCCTCGAGCTCATGCAGTACCTCCCCCAGCACACGATCGAGACCTACCGGCAGCAGCAGCAGCAGCAACATCAGCACTTGCTGCAGAAGCAGTGAGTATGCGCATGGCGTGTTGCGGGAAGGGCAGGCAGGGGCGGGAGGTGCAGGGAAGCGCTGTGCGTGTGGCGTGTTTGTGTGCGACCCCCGACCCTTGTTGCATCGCACGATCTCCAGCTCTCGGGTGTTAAGATTTCTGGGATTTCTGGGATTGGAGCCATCGCGGTGCCCTTTTTGTGTGCGTGGGCCTCCGTGTTTTGGGAAGGGTCCTTGCAAGCGCCCGGCTGAGCACGAACGTCTTACGTGGCTGTGATTCGGCGAACCTGCGCGGGTGTGTGGTAGCTGTGCATGCAGCCGGGTGCGAGCAGCTTTTCGAGGGAAGCGCTCGATCGAAGCCGCAGAGTGGGTTGCCTCTTCAGATTACGCGGGTGGGATTGTGTTTGTTTATTTATTTATTTATTTATGGGACTTTTACCCCGCCCTGCCGGCCAAAGCCGGCTCAGGGCGGCTTACATAGAATCAATACATAATTTACAATAAAATGTAACTAATTTAATATATGCCATTGGGCTGTGGCAGGTTCATAAGCACCCACGTCTGTGTGGCTTGACTCTGTAACATCTAACCGAGATTAAAATGCGTTCATGACTTCATAGAGCCAGCGCCAGTAATGTCAAATGGAATCCAGATACTATTGGAGATGTGAAGGCCCGGGAAAAAAACGGAAAAAATGGTTTTTCCGTTTTTTTCTGAAAAATTGGGGGGAAAAAAGAAAAAAAATGATTATGGAACTTACTATTTTAACATGATGAATAAAATATTTTAAGACAAGGTGTTCAAAAATTTTCCAAAATCATTTCTAAAATATATATATCGGATCAGTTCTGGTTTCTGCCATTTACTTGTGAAACACTGAAAATTACTGATAAGGAACAGGATTCTCACCCCCCCCCCCAAAAAAATAATAATACGGAGGCAGTATGGTGTAGTGCAGTGATGGCGAACCTTTTAGAGACCGAGTGCCCAAACTGCGACCCAAAGCCCACTTATTGATCGCAAGTGCCAACACGGCAATTTAACCTGAATACTGAGGTTTTACTTTAGAAAAAACAACCCATACATTAACTTAAGATGATCCAAACAAAGTAAGGAAAGCAATCCCAAATGCTTTCATTTACTTAAAATTATTTGGCAGAGAATTCAGCACTTTAATGATGGTCTGGGCCTGGCTGGGGCGATGGCACGCGTGCCCACAGAGAGGGCTCTGAGTGCCACCTCTGGCACCCGTGCCACAGGTTCGCCACCACTGGTGTAGTGGCTATGACTGGGCAGACATAAAAAAGAGCCAAGCTGGATCAGACCAGTAGTCCCTCCAGTCCAGCATCCTTCCTCAGACAGTAACCAACCAGTTCCTCTGGACGGCCAACAACGGGACTTAAAGGCCGAAGCCTTCCCCTGATGTTGCCTCCTGGCTCTGGGATTCAAAAGTTTAGTGCCTCTGAGTGTGGATGTTCCCCTTAGTCACCATGGCTTTGATAGGCTTATCCTCCATGAATCTATCAAATCCCCTTTTAAAGCTGTTTATTCCTGTGGCCACTCGCTACATCCTCTGGCAGCAGATTCCACATTTGAATCACTCTCTGTGTAAAGTAGTATTTCCTTTTGTCTGTCCTGAACCTACTGCCCGTCAGCTTCATTGGATAATGGCCTGAACCTTGCTGGATGATGGTGGGCCAGTTATTTTCTCCAGGGGAACTAATCTCTGGAGATCACTTGTAATTCCAGGCGATCTCCGGGCCCCACCTGGAGGGTGGCAACCCTAGCAACAGCTGTCTCCGGCCTCTGTTCCCATCTGTTTGGGCATACACCCAGGTGCTGGAAAGGCGAAAACTTCCTCATAAGCAGAGCTGTGGGGCAGTCAGTGAGGGCCCTTCCTCTTGGTGCTGACTTAATTGTTTTGTGCTAATTACTGTTTTTTTGCTATCCTGGGAGGCAAAGCCAGCACTTTGAGGTTGCACTTTAGGGTGGCTGGATTAAAAAGCACCTCCCCAAGTCTTTTGAGTCCATCCACTCAGTCAGCAGACCTCCTTGGAGTGTCATAACCTAAGGGATGTTGCCAAAAAACGGCCGTTTTTTTTTCCGGAAAGGAAGTTTGTTTTGTTTTTGTTTTTTCACATGAAGTGACGGGATGTGTATGTGTGTGTGTGTGCGCGCGCAATGCCTCTTCCAAACTCCAGGTGAGATAATGTCATTGTTTTACTGTAAGCCAGAATAAGGTCCAGGTCACACGGGCTGGAAAATGCGGGGGAGAAGCGTGGCTGTTTGCCCCGGAGCAAAGTAACACACGGCAGCCCGATCTCATGTCCCGTCGAGGTCCCGTGGTTAGGCCGTTAGGTGCCGATCACACGGCTAACCTGCAGCGCGGCAAAGAAGCAGCGCGGCGCGATCACACCAGCAATCGCTAGACGCCGCTTCCGTGGCAAACAGGAATCTTTTTTCCACACCGAAGTTTGCGCATGCGCATGATTGTTTGTGCGCATCCTGTCGAGACTTTAAAAAAACATCCGGTGTGCGACGGGACATGGATGGGCGCCAGATGCCATGGGATTCAAGTGGAAATGCGATCAGACGCCCGCCCTTGTCCCGCGTTTCCCAGAAACTAGTACATCATATGTGGTAGTTTTTTACTCCACATCTTCGGCGAAAAGCCACGGGTTAGCCACGGGTGTACTACTACGCTTCCCAGATGTTGCGGTGTGATCGCGCACCAAAAATCCGCCTATCATCCATGTCTTTAGCGCGGCAACTTCTCCGTGTGAACGGGACCTAAGAACATCAGAATTCCAAAGGCTCAAAAAGGTTGAGGACCCCCACTGTGAACAATGACAGCCCCCACCAGGATCTTAGTCTTTATTTAGATTAGCGGGTATCTGTGAATGAATGTAATTGCATGCTCTGTGCAAACACCACATTTCTCAGATTTGCACTGAATCAAGCATTTGGAAATTTTGGATGTTGCATCCATAGTTTTCTCTTTGCACAAGGCATGAATTCAGATCCTGTAGGTCCTCCTACTCAGAGAGTTGTCAGCATGCTTTGGGAATGCTCTTGTTGTTTGCTTTTCACTTTGTATGTTAGTCTGAAGGTAGGAAAAGAGCATCAAGTATTTGGGGAAGCAACGTAACCTAAAGAGTGTCCTGATTTGCCCTTGAATTAGAATACATCTTAGACATCTGGGGGACTGAACCTGTGACCTTCTGTACGCTAAGCATGTTTGCTTCCATTGAGCTACAGGCCTTGCTCCTACTTTGCAGTGGAGCAGAGACTAATCTTCGATCATGCAAAATGCCTTTTACTTCGGAGAGTCCAGAGCAGGGGTGGCCAAACTTGCTCAACGTGAGAGCCACATAGAATAAAAATCAGATGTTTGAGGGCCACAAGACATGAACAAATATTACACAAACGTTTTTATTTTTAAAATACGCAAATTTGCTTTTTATTAACATTAAATGAGACTGCCAAAAATAAAAACAAAAGGGGTAAAAACAGATATTTATAATGATGTTTATTTGTCCAATTATATTTATTGGTTCGCTAATGATATTTGTCTAAGAGAGAGAGAAAAAGATATAAAGGTGGAAAGAATGAAAGAGGTGGAAAGAAAGAGAGAGGAACAAAGAAAGCAAATAGATGGGGGGGGGGAGAAAAAGTATGCCTCCCCTTCGCTTTCCCAGCTGCCCTGCCGGGAGCCGCACAATATGTGTGAGAGAGCCACAGTTTGGCCACCCCTGGTCCAGAGCATGTCCCATCTCTCCTTAGACCTTTGTAATGAGTCATATAATGTGGAGCTCGGTCATGGGTAGCCCTACACAGCATGGGATTGTCTTCTCCCATACGGTCCAGCCTGGGAATTAAGATCACAGGGAGAGGCCCTCCTGACGGTCCCCCCAGTCAAAACAGTTTAGTTGCTGGGTACACGAGGGAGGGCCTTGTTGGTTGGCAGCCCCGCAATTAGGAAAAAACCTCGCCAGGGAGATATGCCTGGCCCCCTGTCACGGCTCAGGTGGGGTGTCACCTGATGCTGCCACCACTCTGGATTTAGGATCCCTTGAGAGGGCCCAGAGCACCCTCCCAAAACCTTCGGACTTCCCTTATTTGGCCAAATAATAGGCATGAGGACCAGGCAGAGTAAACAACAAGGAACAGGTTTATTTTACAGGAGGTCAAATAAACAAGGTGCAGGGATAATAACAGTAAGTGGGTGAAAAGAAAAGAAATCAAATGCCCTAACGCGTCTAAATATATACTGTCCCTTGCTCACTATCTCAAGTGGCCTTAGACTACTCCCCCTTCCCTCAGGATGAGGGTTGCTTCCCCACAGCAGCCTCTCTTCTGGCCCTGTTCCCTGGGAAGAAGAACAGCTTTGTCTCTTGCACCAGTTCTTTTATTCCCCAGCCCTCTTCTTCCCTATTGGTCAAAATCGGCACCAAAACTTCCCAAGGCCTTCTGGGGTGTGTAGGCCCAGCCTTCCCTCCTGCTAGCCAGGCTCCCTGGGCCTAGTAGGCCTCTGGTGGCACAGCCCAGATAATGACACCCCCTCATTGTCAGTCTTCAGGAAGCAGCTGAAGACGCTTTTACTTAGAACTGCCTTTGACTGCTTTAGTTTTTATTGATTGGCAGTCCTAATTGGAGGGTTTAAATTGTGGTCTTTTAGGTGTATTTTTTTTAAAAAATTCTTGTTTTATTTTGATTCTAAGCCATCTTGCGTTCCACAAGTTAGAAAGGTAACTAATAAATGCTTTAAGTAAATAAAATATATAAGTAGAAAGAGGGTGTGTGCCTAGATCTTCCTAAAAGAACCACGAGTTATCGAATGACACACAACAATTTCCTTTGTTGCTCCTTCCTTGTTCTCTTTTCATCTGCCTGTGCTTTTGTGCATGGTTTTCTGACTCCTTTTTTCCATGTCAAATACCTTTATAATCACAGAGGTTCTCTTTAATGGCGTGATTGCTCCATATTTGTATGAGTCTGTATGCATAGAAGAACATAAGAA